TAATGAGAGTTTCCAACATTTAAACAGAAAAAAAGAAAGAGTCAATATAAATTTTATTCAATAGAGAACCTTAAAATCGTCATTAATAAAAACCGATTTAATCTTACTTTGTCCAAATTCTTCAGGAGAGAGTTCTTTTTCAGTTATTGGGTCAAATTCCTTTGTCATGAGAACAAATGTCCTTTGTCCTATAAAGTAATTAAAAATTAAACAAATGGGTTTTACTTATTTGAAAAAATTCCAAACATTCAAACAGAGGCATTTACAATTCACTAATACATTTGTGTACATCAGATAAATTTTAGACTGTATACTTTTTATCTATTATTTTGCTCTAAAAACCTAATATTTTTAAAAAATAAACACCAATCACAAAAGCGAATCAAAAATGAAATTAATTAATCCGTTTAAATAAATTTGGTGCTGATAAAACTATGATGCATTAATTTATTAGCATCAAAACTTTTTAACAGTTCACTGTTCAGCTCTAGAATTTTATGAATTTAAACAATGAAACTGAAAAACAATAGAATAGACGGAATGAAACAAGGAAGACACTGCAACTTTATTTTCAAAACTATTCATTTAAATCGGCCAACCACTAATTTTTTGTCCTGCGGATCAAAAGTACTCCACAACTTTAAAACAACGTTCATAAGCTTTTTAAATTTGGTGTCCTAAAAATGCCTTACAATTTAAAAAATAAACTAAGGAGGGACATAGAAAGGTTAAGGTTTCCTGTGTTCTGATAAGAAGTTAGGATTCATTCTCACAAAATTTTAAAATTAGTTATGAAGTTCATCAGTAAATGGCATTAATAATTTAAAAAAAAGCAATATAAGAACAGGGTGTATAGCCAAATTATTCAACAAAAAATAAGCACCTTTTAAACACTTTTCAAGCACTCAAAATATATTTCGTAAGCACATTAAAAAAAAAAATCATAATTAGGCAGGGTTTGAAAGTTTCTGACAATTGACGGCTTTATCCTGTTTTAACCGTCACGTCAAAAGTAAAAAAAAAACTTATGACGTTGTTTTTGACAATTGTCAAAAATCATGAAATTTTGAACCATATAAAACTAATGGCGTTTTCATACGCTACGAAATAACAATACGCCGAAATAGATTGGGGTTGAATTAATTGAGAAAACGTTGAATAAAACAATGTGAACTGCGTCATTTTGCATAATTTGTAGCAAAAATCAACACGGTATAGAAAAAATCTCATTTTGAAAAAGGAAAAATTAAGCACTTTTTAAAAACACCAAATGAAAAAAGCACCTTTAAGGGCTTTTAAAAAAAAGAAAATAAGCACCTTCAAGCAATTTTTAAAAACGCTACGCACTCTGAAGAATGCTTTCAAAATAAAGTAGAAGATTGATCATCCGAGACTTCAATTATCTGATGATTCCTTCCAACACGTATAATGAATTTGAAATTTTGCTGTTAATTAATTACAATTAAGTAGAAAATAAAAATGCATTGATGATCAATGACTTTTTTTCACTACATTATATCATTATTTATTATTAAAAAAAAATTTAAAAAAAAAACATTTTTGTTCATATTTGGTTATATTATTTTGAGTAATTTTACTCATAATTTAATTTTAATACACTAAGAAATTGACTTTTCAATTTTCCGACATTCCCCTGGTTCCAAGGACGTCAGTTAATCGAGGTTCTACTGCAACCACAAAAATAATCAACAATGGCATCTAACAGTTTAAGGATTAGAATTAACAGAGTGCTGGTGCAAGCATTTTAGTTGGAGTGATATGACATTCAGACATTGTTTTTCCAATTAGCAGAACACAATAAAAGCTAAACAGAATGTAATAAACCATACATTTCCACCTATCACTATTTATTTTTTCTTGAATTGTTTGTCATTTTTTGAACAATAGATAGCAGATGTGGGATATAAAAGTACAATTAAGCTCAATGAGATTAAAAAAAAAAATTTTAATAAAAATTTAAGATTGCTTATTGCGAGGACAAACTAAATGAAACATTATTTCTAAAAATGCCTGCATTTAAGGTCAAAACATTATGAGATTTATCACCAAACTCACAAGTTTTCTACTTCTTTTTAATAAAAGAGTTACAGAGTTAGGATGATTTCTTGAATCTCAATATTAAATTTCTTTCCTTCTGATCCCTGCAGTTGAATGCCAGATCTATTTTAACAAGAAAAAAAGGAGAAAAGGAAGGAAAAGAAAGTAAGCAGAATTATTCAGACATTCAGGAGATAAATAGAATATATGATAAAGATTAAAAATGAAGAAAGTATAAAAAAAAAAAAGTTATTGAACTTGAATATTGTTTGCTCCACTTTTTTTATTTCATTATTTTTTTTTATTTTATTTATGAGATCCTCAACTTAAAAATTAATAAAGAAAAAAATCTAGAAATTTCAAAAAATGATAAAATTGTTTACAAATACTTCTTTGAAAAAAGAATTTTTCTTTCAGGATTTGTTTATCATTATTATGAAAAGCATTGTTACAGTTTTGGATAACATACATCAACAGTACTTAACAATAATTGAGAACTAAAAAGAAATAATAATAACCAAGAGATTTCAATGAAAGAAATTGTGAACAGAGAATTTTTCAATCAACAGTTTATAAATTGTGTAAACGCTCCTCTGTAACTTTATGCGTTTTGTATTTTTTAAACATTGTATTAATCTATTTTCAACCAAATTTGCATAAATGCACAATTTCAATAAATATTTTTTATTATCGCTGTGATGTATATTTTTCATGAATTTTATTTTCTGCTTATTTTCAAGAGTTCTGAAGACAACTATAAAATATTAATAATTCAATTAGAGTAAATACTTCCTATAGAGGAATTTTCAAACACAAATTACGCTAGTTTTTTAACTTGAAACCACTATTTACAAATTTGACTTTTTGAAAATGAATAATTATTCCGTTTAATATTAATCATATGTTTTTATGATGGATTAAAGTTGCAAGTTCTGTAAATGAAATGAAAGTAAAACAAATGTCATAAAAAAAATTTAGTATTCAACATAATGATTTATCCATTGACTTGGTCAATGGTGCAGTGGCCAAACACACCATTTTATTTCTTAAATGAAATATTATCTTTTATACATGAAACTTTTTTGTCTTAATAAATGTAATTTAAGCATATTTTAATGAAAATAATAACATATTTCATAAATTTCTATGCTTGATCTGAAATGGGTTAATCTAACATTTACATTACAAAATATATAAAGGTTGACATCACATCAAGTGAACACACAAAATTAACAATTTGACTAATGCTTGGGAATTTCCAATATTGTAAAAGGATTGCACGTAACTATACTGATTTTTTATGTTTCAAAGGATGTGATCTCTTACTTTAAAATGTAATGTAAGTATATTTCAAAGAAAATAATACCATATTTCATAAATTTCTATGCTTGACCTAATATGGGTTAATCTAACATTTACAAAATATGTAAGACGTGTAAGCATCACATCAAGTGAGCACACAAAATTAACAACTTGACTAATGCTTGGGAATTTCCAATATTTTAAAAGGAATGCACATAACTATATGTGTTGATTTTTTATGTTGCAAATGATGCGATCTCTTACTTTAAAAGGTATTCTTTCTCTTACACATGTATATTTTTCGTATGAACAAATTAAAACATCGAATAGACAACAAAAATCATGTAAACAAATATAATTGAAATAATAAGTTGCAAAATGTACAGATAGAAAATATAAAATATTACCAGTTAATAAAATGAGAAATTCTTGATCAGGACTCCATGCAAATTCTTTTAAACCATTTTCTACAGCTCCAATGTTACTAACCTAATTTAATGAACATAAAACATGTATTAGTTCAAAATATGCACAACAAAATTAATATAAAAAGAAATTTAACCTTTTCATCTAAGATTCACATTGGTCTCCTGATTATTTAAAACGAAAGAAAAACAAATTTATAAATTTCTGAACAAAAATACATCACTAAAATATTCCACCTACTAAACCTAGAAGTTTTTTTATACGCTTATTATATTTAATAAATAAATAAATAAGAACCAAAATTTTTAACAGATTGTGTCAAAAACTATGAGGGCAATTTCCAAATTAATGTCTCCTACTTCTATAAGAAATCATTTCTTATTATATCATATTAATTTAAACGTAGAACATTTTCCTACATAATCACCACTTAATCTAGCTTGTGTTCCAACACAGACATAAATAACTTATAAATAAAACAGAAATATTTTACAGCAATTTAGATTTTCTGCCCTTTGTTTTGCAAATTTTATACTTTTTGATTTTTTTTAATATGGTAAAAAGCAATGAATTAATTTTATTTGTAAAGCAGTAATAAATGAAGACAATACACAAATGTTGAAAGATAGAAAATATATATACTTGTTTTTCTGCAATATCATACAAATATAGATTCCCTGAAGCTGATGCTAGGAAAATACTATTGGTTTCCATAATGTATTCCATACCAATAACATATTCTTGCTCCTCTGAATCAAAACCGGAACAGAATGAGACCTTTAGAGAAAATTTTATGAAAATGTGTAAACAAATTGTTGATTCACAAATACAAATTTAGAAAAAAATATATAAACACCCACTGTTGGGCCATGTGGTTACCCATGGTTAGAGCATTAAACTTCAGTCCCAAAGAGGGTTGATACTGCTAAGACTCACTGAATATATGTGATATCCACGAGGGTAAAATAAAAAATTCAGTGGTCCATTATTGAGCGGGTATAGGGGTCTGGGTATCGGGATCTGGAAAAAATTTACTTCCCCTTCAGATCTATATCTAAATTGTGGAATAGGCCTCACAAATTAGTGATCCTGCCTCTATCAGGGGAGATTTGAGTTAAGTCACACTTCACCCTATTAGAAACAACACTTTTAAGAACAATAATTAAATTTTTTAAGCAAATTGATGAAAAAGATAACTTCCTGATTAAAATAAAATAGTTTTCCTAAATATTTAAAGTCAAAGGTACTTGAGCATAAGCATTAGAGAAGCTCAATTTAGAGCAATTTTCAGTCAAATCTTTTTATTATAATTTGTAAATTCAGACGTCAAATAATTCATGATTAAAAATTATAAAATAAATTAATTAGCATTAATTGTTACACTAAGTTATGGCCACGTCAATTAATTTAGTTTTACTAATGTAAATATATTATTTTAATTTAAAAAATAAACACAGTACTTAATGAAATAACATGCAAATTTACTACACCAATACAATGATAATAAAATAATTTTGAGTTATGTTAAAGTAAAAAGCATAACAAAATACTACTTCAATGTCGTTAAGTTGAAGTGTCAATCTTGCCACCGATTTCAAAATCTGTCACTCTTACAGTGGTGTAAATAATGCCCTCAGAAAACCCATGGTGCAGGACAGACACACTCCAGAAAAAAGTACACTAAAAACTATACTTATAAGATAGAATACTACTATTGATAAACTATGAATTTTATATTTATAAGATAATTTTTATTTATAAGATATATTTTAACTTCCCTTATGAATAATAGTAACCCTTAACTAAAATTTGAATATAGTTATTGTAAGATAGTGAGTTTATATAACTTTCATATTATAGATCCATCTCCTTTTAATGTGGAAAGTGTGTTTTCAATTCACTACTTTTTCTAAATTCTGCTTGCTTTTGTATTACAATTATGTTTTTCATTATCATAAATCAAAACAAAATAAATTATTATAAATATCTTTTCACCCGAGTATTTTTGATTTGGATAATTTTAAATTTTTTGCGGAAAGTTTTAAAATAGAATACACTAAAAAATCTAGCCAGAAGGAGGGCACCTAAGTCTATGACTGCCACTGCTCTTATAACTAAAAAATAAAGACAAATTTATTCAGTAGTTATAGAAACAAAACAAATATTTTGTTTTGAACTGATTACATGTTAATCATTTTTGAGATAAATAGTAATAAATTAATTTGAGAATAATAAAGGTACAATAACTAGTAAAATTCAAAAATATTAATAGTTTCCTAATTAAAATTATATGATCTATACAGCAAAGAATTATTTGAAATATAAATGTTTTTTAATTATAATAAACTTTACCACTTACTTCATTATTAACTTGATCAAAGTGATAAATTCCTTTACTGCTACTGAAATATATGAAGTTGTCAAAATCCTGACAAAAACTGTCACTCTCTATAACAGTCTTTTTAGAAGCTCGGACCAATTTTAAGTTTCTCATATTTCTATAAAGAGATAAAAAACTTTTTTTATTAAGACTACAGTTCCATAAAAAATTTAGAAATAAATATTATATTTTCAAGAGGCTTCAAATCAACTTCATAAGTAAATTCTCTTGACTTTTTATATAATTTCAGACTTATATTTGCTATGCACAAAAATAGTTTATCACAAATATCATTATATTTTTTAATTAATAAGTAATCAAACTTACTTTTTGATAGAAAATATTTCAACATCATATTTTACACAAAAAAAAAGGTTTAATATGTGTCTAAATTTCATAATACATACCTATATTCATTATACAAATCAAGGATATAATTTGCATAAGATCTAGAAAAACTTAAAGACTAATCATGGTAAATTAAGAGTCCCACGAGCATATAGTTATCATATTATCTTCTTGTAATTAAGTCTATTTAGCACCACATTATTTACAAATATTTACATAGAAATTATAAGTGTTAAAGTGTATTAAGATTAATTCACCAAATCTTCAAATTCCCTTTTTTAAAATGCAGAAAATGCACAAAAAATCACTTAAGATGAAGCATATTTTATGAGCTTTCAATATTTAGTCTTTAAAAATTCAAATTATCAATACCACAATTATTAAACTTCCGTCTAATAACTCGGAAAATTTTTAAGTTGCCACTTTTATCTATTCTCTTTGATTTGCCACATGACGATTGGTTGCATAAAAGTAATAATACAAAGTCTAGTATACAAAAATATACGATATATGTACTGAAAGACATGGTACAAAAAATAAATTAACAACAATTTTTCTCTTGGTTAATTTAATGCAATATTTTTATATGTAGGAACAGAATTGAATTTTATAATAAAATATTGCATAAATTTTTTTTTAATGTTTTGTCATTCGTGAAATATTCTTTTGCCAGCGTTTCTATAGGTAAGGAGGGTCAAACAAAAATTTTTCTTTCGAAAGTGCTGTTTCGAGTTTTAGAAAGGCATGTATCTTAATCAATTTATCATCCAAGGGATATAAAGACAACCTTACTATTACATATGAACTATTTTCTTGTCATTTTTCCAGTGATCTATTCTTCTGACTGTTTTCAGGTATTCATTAACAGTTTTGAAGTTTCAAAGTGAAAAATGAACAAGGACTGGGAGATTTCTATAAAGATCTCTGCGAGAATAAACGCTAGGTTTATTTTCTTTCTGGCATTTGCCTGCAGGAAAATCGAATAGTTTGAAACAAATTTTGGGCAAAACGGAACAATTCGAAAAATTCTGGCATGTGAGAAAAATATTAACAATTAGAATCAATTCACGCCAGGTTTTTTTGCAAGAGATGCCAGCCTTTTTTTTATTTGGCCAAAACCAAATAATTTCTAGACAGTTTGTGGTTTTCATAACCCTGTTTTAAGAGTTTTACAATAAAAAACTAGAATAGTAGGAAATTTCTGTTCACCAAAAAAAAAAACTTATGCTTTTCAACAATAGAAATTAAGTAAACTGCAAAAAACTATAATAATACTTTCTTGGGTTATGTATATCAAGAATGACTTGTTTACTAACCATTCACTGTAATAATTACTTAATTTCGGTCCTATGCAGTGACAAATTTAATAAAAAACATACTTTTAAACAATTAAAAATCTAGGTAAAATAGTACTACCTATTGTACAATGTAATTGCCGATGTGAACTAAATATTATAACACACTTTAACATGAAAAATTATATCATAATCACTTAGAAGATAAGTCAATCAACAAAAAAAATGTGTAAAAATAAAATATAATATCCGTTTTTCAATCAGTTCNGTTTTACAATAAAAAACTAGAATAGTAGGAAATTTCTGTTCACCAAAAAAAAAAAAAAAATTATGCTTTTCAACAATAGAAATTAAGTAAGTTGCAAAAAACTATAATAATACTTTCTTGGGTTATATATATCAAGAATGATTTGTTTACTAACCATTTACTGTAATACTTACTTAATTTCAGTCCTATGCAGTGACAAATTCAATAAAAAAACATACTTTTAAACAATTAAAAATCTAGGTAAAATAGTAGTACCTTTTGTACAATGTAATTGCCGATGTGAACTAAATATTATAACAAACTTTAACATGAAAAATTATATCATAATCACTTAAAAGATAAGTCAATCAACAAAAAAAATGTGTAAAAATAAAATATAATATCCGTTTTTCAATCAGTTCTATATAATCTGTCATCCCTCAAAAAAAAATTTTTCAATATGCATGTGGAATAATTGTTTACAAAACAAACGAAATATATATATCTCCGTTCGAAATGCAAAATTCTTTAAACTTATGATCGATTTGGAACGTTCCACATGTTATAAAATTACCAAATGAACGTAACTTTAAAAAACGCATTTAACTGGTTCTTTAAGATCTTTCCAAGCTTTCAGTTGCCATTTAATTTTAACTATACTTTATATTAAATTTTGATTTTCATAATAACAATAATTATAAATTCCATTAATTTATCATATACATTATAAAGCTAATTTGATGCACCTCGCTTTTTTAAAATAGCTTTCAGAGTTGAAATGCTGAAAATTCTTCTTTATGGTTTCCTGTTCCATTTCACTGCAACCAAGTCTTAAAATAGTGACTTGCTGTTTGTGTTTTCGAAAACTTCAGTTTTCCGGCTGAACTTAGTATACATATCTTTTGCAGTTGTGTTTAACTCTTAATATTTAATTATTATTACTTTAAAATGTTCCGGAATCAGTATGACAACGATGTTACAACTTGGAGTCCACAAGGCCGACTCCATCAAGTCGAATATGCCATGGAAGCTGTCAAACAAGGCTCTGCTACTGTTGGGATCAAAAGCAACACTCATGCTGTTCTAGTGGCTTTAAAACGAGCTTCATCTGAATTATCCGCCCATCAGAAAAAAATCATTCCCATTGATAACCACTGTGGCATTGCTATTGCTGGCTTAACAGCTGATGCTCGACTTCTTAGTAAGTACATGCGTACAGAATGTTTAAACAGCCGATTTAGCCGTGATGCCCCATTGCCGATTAATCGCCTTGTTACTCGACTGGGAAATAAGATGCAAGTATGTACCCAACGCTATGATCGTAGACCATATGGTGTTGGCCTTCTTGTTGCTGGTTATGACGATCTTGGTCCTCACATTTATCAAACCTGTCCATCTGCTAATTACTTTGATTGCAAGGCTATGGCCATAGGTGCTAGATCTCAATCAGCTAGAACCTACTTGGAAAAGTATTTAAATGATTTCAAAGATTGCAATTTAGAGGAATTGGTGAAACATGCTCTACGTGCTCTTCGTGAGTGTTTGCCTAATGAAGTTGAATTAAATTCAAAGAATGCATCAGTTGCCATTGTTGGAAAGGGCATGGACTTTTCATTGTATGAAGATGAGAAAGTGGAACCCTATTTGCAAGCCATAGCAGGCGATGAGAGACCTCGAAGAGGAGGTGTTGCTGGAAGTGGAGATGAACCTGGTGATAGTAAACCTGATGATGCTGCACCAAAAAGACCAGAACCTGAAGCAGCAGTTGAAACTATGGCTGTTGATTAAACTCTAAATGAACAATTAGTTACTTTTGTGAAATTCAATTATTCTTATTCAAATGTCTAATGTTTTAAAGAACATGTTTTTTGATAATATACAATGAATAACTAATGTGGTTATTATTTCTCTTTGCTTTATTTCTATTGAATTTTCTTTAACATCCTCCTAAGCATTAAGTTCTTTTTTTTTTAAATTTATTTTTACCTCAAAATATATTTTCTGTTTAGATCTGCGTATTTTTTTTTTAACTTAGAAATTAATAACAGTTAAAGTTTGTTTTGTGGGAAAATGAACTTACAAATGAAATTCGCTGGCTTGCCATCGAGTGTTTTAATTGCTAACACAATGCATCAAAGTTGCTAATTTGTTTCATTATCCAATAAAAGTGCCTTTCTGTTAAGAAGTATATTTCTTTTGTTTGAAGAGAATTTGAACCTTTAAGAGGCAAAAATTAAATCCACTGGATCAATATGAGTTGATAATTAATTAAATATCCGCTTGACTTTTAACTAAATGATTATGAATCTTATAATTCTACTTATTTTGGCAGACCTTTTAAGGTGGCTATTCTAAGATAAATAAGGAATGTGTCCTCAAATTTAGTTTTTTTTTATTGCAATAATTTTTGCTTATATTTACATTAATGACTTTGCCGGCCGAGCGGTTAGCGCACCTGACTGCGAAGCCAATGGTCGCGGGTTCGAATCCCGCTCTGGGCATGGATGTTTCTCTCTCTTGTATTGTGTGAATGTGGCCCACCCGATGAACGGGTTTGTGGCGTGGGCAATGTTGCTCGCCTCCGTGACTTTGGTTTACAGCTGCCCACTGGGCAACGCAAAATGAGTAGCACCTGGCATCTTCTAAGGCGAAACGAATAAAGTTCAGTGCCTGCCATTCGAAAAAAAAAACATTAATGAATTTAAAATATGAATACATCATTAATTTTTTCACTTTAAATAAGCTTATATCAAATCCATTTTTCTGGGACATCTAATCAAAGAGTTTATGCCTAGCATCCACATGCTACAGGCAGTAAGTGTACTTCATTTTGTATACTATAATTTGGCCAATCTGACTACTATTCCCTCATATAAAATTTGTGACTTCTATTTTTTCAAGACTAATTAGACTTGTTTGAATAACACTGTGGATGCACCAAAGTATGATTGAATCAAGGATTGGTAATGCTCTGGGAATGGTGTAGCGCTGCGTTTCATTTATACAAGCTATTGCGTTTCATTTATACAGTTGCTATTATGGTAAATCAGGGTTGGCAAGNCCAGTTTTGGACAGTTTAACCCAGTTTAGGACAGTTTTACCCAGTTTAAGACAGTAAAACCCACGTGTCCTGTCCAAAACCAGTTTAGGACGTCCAAAACCCCAACCCTGTGGTAAATGCATATATAGCTACCTACCGTGAATGTTGTTAATCAGTTGTTTCAACTACTAATATGGGAAAAATTTTGTTAACTTGTATTTCGATCGTAGACTTTAGGCTATTCAATTTTCAACACCATCAGAGAGTGAGTACTTCATTTCAACAGTTTAAACAATACTATACTGCAAATGTAATTTTTTTTTTGGTGATTATGGACAAAGGATAATTAGCTGTGAAGTAAGTTGTTGTGAGACGGCTCAGCCGTTTGTATAAACTCAGTTATATCTAACTTTGAATCAAATTACCAATCACTAATACTGGTTAACTATCACAACGCAACTTCTCTATATATATACAATTTCAATAACACCTTCATGTGCACATAAATGTATGCAACTAGCCTAATGAAGAAACAGTTTTTTTTTTATACAGAAAACACATTTATTTGACGCAACCACACATCAACAAAGCAAAAATAAATTGAATGACCTGTAAAGGGTTCATATAAATTTTGCAAAAATGAATTGAAATACCCATAATGGGTTAGTATAAACCTTAAATGAAGAACTTTTCTCAACAGAAACCGACTCTCTTGATCTCGTTATGTTTTTTTTTAAAAATCATGCTTGTGTTAAATATTTTATGGATATTTTTAAGACTATGCTAGTAACGTGCAAAGAGGGCAAATGCCTCCGAGATCATCAAATGGATGACGAAGTACATCAATATTAAAAGCCTGTTACTATATAACTAATTATTATTAAGAAAATATAGATTTCTTATTATGTAAATAACATAGATATAAAGGCATAAAGATGAATAACTCGACCAACCGGACCTCATGGTGAACTTTGACACCACTATTCTAGTAACTAGTTTCTACTCTACGCCACCGCCCTCTACTAAGCTGTTTGTTTAAACAAAACTTTAAAGTTGTTTCTTTATAGCAGCTGTCTATAATTTGTTCTCTTGTTATTTGATTTTTATAAATGGAAATGATCAATAATATTTAAAATAACATTCTATCGTTGTCTCTGTGCCAGGCAAATTTGAAATTCTCAAATTTTACAGATGTTAAACAGCCTTTTTCCGAATTGTTATAATATGTAAATTTAAAGAAACTACTTTTTTATGTCATTGCGAAATTCAAATACTTGAAATAAAAAAACACAATTAGTACTAACAAAAAATAAGTAAATTAAAATAAAGAATATTTTCGAAAGAAATCTAAGCTGCCCAAAACATTAAATTTCATATAAAGCACTATAAATTGGAAAGTGTTAATAATTGCTGAGATAGTCTTATTATCATCTGCTAGCGTTCAATTAGGCTGTTATTGAAACGTTTTCGTGGTTTTCGTTTGTGTGTAATTTAACTTCTAATTATTTTTATTCAAAAAGTCTTTCAAAACATGAATTTACTCCTGCCTTTAAATTACAAGTTACTATATCTGGGTTGTACAGAAAAGTACAAAAAATAAGAAGAGCATTTCACAACATTCACTGAGATGAGAGGCTATATATCAAGAATGATAAAAAAAAAATGATTATAATTTTTATAAGTAATTTCATTGCTATAATGAACATTTAGATAGAATCCTATAGCCATCAAGAAATCTGAAAAGCATTTTTGTGGTTTTCCTTTGCTTGTATCACAAAATTTGATTTCTTTAAAATTTAATTTTACATAAAATAGGTTACTACAGTAGCTTTTATAAACATAATTTTACTCTGTTGCTTAAATTGCATGTTACTCTGATTACTGGGTTGTGTTAAAAATTAGAAATATAAGAAGAGTGTTTCACAACATTCACTAAGATGACAGGCCCTTCTGTCAAGGATGATAAAAACATTCTTGGTTATAAAAAGTAATTTTATTGCAATAATGTACATTTAGTTGGATTCCTATTACCATTAAGCAATCTAAAAGATTTTTACAAGAATTTTTTAGGCTAGTGTTTAATAAAACAATAAGCATATACAGTGAATTCGCGATAACTCGAATCTGACAGGACTGACGAAAAACTTCGACGTATCGGAAGTTCGACTTAACGTTAGTTTCGGTTTTGAACTTTCAAAATTATTATCGGATTATTTAATTAATGCTNTAAAAAATTTTCCAAATTAATTGGAGTATGTAATTGCAAATCAATCAATTAATTAATTAATATTTAATTAATAATTAGTTAATTAATTTGCCAATTGATTTATTAGTTAGAACATTAATTAATTAACCAATTAATTACAAATTAATTGGAGTATGAGACAATTACAATAACTAATAGTCTGCATTGAAGTAATAAAATATCGATTTTTCTACTCATTGAATTATTTTTTATCTCTCACAGGACCTTCTATGGGCCGAAACGAATGTTGCCCCCTAAAATTATTCCTCATAAGGCATACATCCCACTAGTTTATTTTAAAATTGGCGAGTCACACTTCCCTAGTTTCCCTTTTAAGATGGCAGGCCCTTCTGTCAAGGATGATAAAAAAATTCTTGGTTATAAAAAGTTATTTCATTGCAATAATGTACATTTAGTTGCATTCCTATTACCATTAAGCAATCTAAAAGATTTTTACAAAAATTTTTTAGCCTAGTGTTTAATAAAACAATAAACATATATATAGCTCAGATAAAGGTAGAGGATTTGCAAATACAGTACAAAATCCGTTATCCGGAAATCAATAAACCGGAACGAAATTCGATAAATTTTCCCGCCATTTTTTTAAAAAAACGTTTTTTTCCTCATAAGATTTTTCTTTCTTTTTTGAAAGATGTTTACCTTACCATCATTTTGGAAATAATCATTAGTGTATTACTTCATCGCTTTTTCTTCTTTTTAAGATTATTTCCAAATATTTTTTTTTTTTAGTTGGTTTTAACAATTAAAAAAAACGGCTTTTTATAGCGATTCAGAAAACCGGAAAAATCAGTTATCCGGAATAGCGATCGTTCCGGATAATCGGTTCCCTATTTATAATTCTTTGGGAAAACGAGACAAGTTTGAAACTGGAATTACAACTTACAGTATTGGCGTTGTATTTTCTTAACATACTAATTTATATCATAAGATGTATGAAGCGAACTTTAAAAAAAAAACTCTTCTTAAGTCCGAATCCTCCGCCTGAGCTGTGGTAGCTTAGGGGATAGAGTGTTCGCCATTCAGAGAACTGTCTGGGTTCAAATCCCAGCATTTGTTCAATACGGATGACTGGTTCGATACGAATATTTAATTTGCAAGTCATATAATTCGAAAATTCTCTATAACTAATTACAGGAAACTTTTAAAAAAAAATTTCTTTCGTTTTTCACTCGCCAACTCTGGTACATATATAAAGATCACCTTAGGCTGGACAAATTACGAATTCTTACAACTTTTTTAGAAAAGAAATTCATTTGCACTTAGGTTCTCTAAAAAATATGGGAGTCATATAATTCAAAAATACCCATTTATGTCTATAAATGTTTTACAGAAAATTCAAAATAAAATATTCTTTAGTTTTACACACGCCAACTCTAGTGCATATAACTGATGGGGGGGGGGGATCCAGACAACAAGAAATTTTTTTTTGTAGAGTAGTGAAACTTGGGCAATCATTTGTCTGAATATTTAATTGATTAAAATTCAAGATCAATTAATGCAATTAAGAAAAAAAAACATTTCAAATGTGTAATGTAGAAACATTATTAATCGATGCAACCACCAGAACATAGATTGCAAACAGGCA